GGAGTCTGATTTCAACCGTTGCGTATATCAGCTGCGACATATGAATCAAGATGCTATGACCGAAAAACATTTGATTGACAGATGACCGTTGATATATGATTGGCTGAAATTAGGTGTCCAGGCTGACGTATAACTAACTAGCCTGCATAAGATAACGAAAAAAAAAGATTTTAAGACAGGATTAAAAAAAAAAATAGAAATTTTCTAACTTTTGGGACAATATGGCCTGATAAAGAGTATACTGTATTTATATATATGTTTAAGCCAGAATGATTTAACATTTAATATGACTTCCCTATGATTTTAATTAGTGGAATAAAGATGGGATGCATTTATACCAAATCTTATAGATTTAATGTTAAATTATTTAATTAATGACATCTGACAGCAGGTACTCCCTCTCCTATTAACCAAATCCTGCCCAGTCTGATTGGTTTAGTGATTTTTAATTGGAGGATCTTGTCTGTGAGAAGCAGTTTGTGATTCAGGGAATATTTGGAGATATTTGGAGAGTGTGTTTTCCTGTTGGGGTTCGTTTAATCTGCTAACTAAATATTTTACAGCTTCTGTTTTAGCTCGTCATTTGTTCTGCTCAGATGGAGGTTTTATAGAGCTCAGCGGCGTCCGCGGCTTCGGCTGTGTGTAATCAGCCTGTTACCAACAGTGGTATAAATTTGAAAAGTGGACATTGAAGGATTGTTTTACTGCATGAGCTGTAACACAACAACTGAAGCACCTCCAAACACTAAAGATAAATGATCTGTGTAATTTGCTGCAGTGTTGGCTCAGGAGATTAGGATTTTTATTTTTTAAAAGCGGTGCATAAGGATGAAATTGCTGTTAAATGAACCAGGACCAAGTTTGTAAACAGCTTTTCTGGACAAAAAAAATTAAAGTTACGTTTAACGTTTTTTTTTATTGCTTTTAAGTTGAAGTAATGTGAAGCAGTATCAGTCAGTCAATAGCAGAGATAATTTCTTTTTTTTAAACACTGATTTTTGCACAGATGGAAAATGTCATAGCTCAGAAAATCAATGTTTCAACACTAGAGTGTTATAGCAGAATCAGCCAACCTGGGCGACTCAGTCTCCTTATTCTGCTGGTTTAACCTAAAGGATAAATATCAGGCTTTAAATTCTCAATTTTCATATTTAAAGTTTGAAGTTTTACCCAAGACTAGGGTCAGCTTTGTTTTCATCCCCCCTTAAAGGCACACTATGCAACATTTTTCAGTTAATTAATTTGTTCCATAACGTTTTGGATGATTAAATGAGTCATTTCAGGTTGAACAAAGGTATTCTCGGCCGCCCTGGTGGTCTGTGGGGGAAATACCGCACTTGCAATTGCAGGAGCCCTCGGCCCGCACCCACAGGCTCAGAAGTCTC